TTTTTTTGGTCGAAGAGAAGTTTTGAGAACAGAAGTTTTTTTCATTCTGGAAAATTAGAAAAAATATTTTAACCTGACTAATTTTTTTAGCTTTTGTAATTCTGAAGAAAAGGATTAGAAATTTCTTGATGTTATGTTGAGTCAACCAAAAAACAGATAACTAACGATTACTAAAACTTTTATTATTCTGGTAAGTGTTATCAGATTATGGCTAATGCATACCAACCATAAGGCCGGTCCTGGGCCAGAGCAGGATGGTATATAGGAAAAACAAAAAAAAACAAAAAGATTTTGAGGTCTGAAATGATGTGTATAAAAAAGGATATTTTTGGTCTGGTTGATTCGGGGTTGTTAAAATTTTCTTTGAAAATTCTAATTGTTGTAATTGATGTGTATGTATAAAAAAGGAGATTTTTGGTCTGATGTTTTGAGAATCTATCTAAAAAAAAGTTCAATCTTTTTAATTGGAAAGGAATTTGTAAAACCATTGCATAGAAAAATATTAGGGTTCATTTGATAATCATTTTATTTTTTGTTTTTTCTTTTAAAACTGAAATCAGTTAGCAAATTACTTTTAAACAAATTTTCAGTTTTTTCTGAGATCTAAAATTTGTTACCAAACAAAAACTGAAAACTGAAATGGTTATAACCAAAATATTTGAGTGGACTTTATGCTTATTAAATTTAAACAAAGAAAGCTGCTGCAGTCGGTGGTTACTTTGTCTATAGAGGAACATAATTTAGGCCTTAGCTCTGAACTTAAACTCAAGACCAACCATGCCAACTTTGAAGCATTAGTTTTGGTCTCAACGCAGCGGTGGATCTAGGATTAGAAAGTCGGGTGGGCGAAACTTACATACTAACCTTTATGAGTGAATTTCATTAATAAACATAAAAAGATACACATAGTCAGGGGGCACGTAATGAGCCTTACTCTCATATGTATCTTTATACATAAATAAAAGCTTTAAAATAAATAAAAAATTAAAACAAAAACCACAAGTAAATGTAATGCAAAACAAAACAATACTATTTAAATAAATAAAAAATTTACATTGTGGGAGCTTAGAAGTCTTAAATTCCCCAATTATGGCTGCATTATCCATATTATTAGTGAACTCACTTTCAATGTGGAGGATCTCGCAATCAGCAAGAAATTCATCAGCTACGGCGCTTCGAAGTAACTATTTTAAGAAAAAAACTCGTTTCGTTGTTGTAGTAGAAACATGAAGAGTCAACCTATTAATCAAAGGGTTTTCTACCAAAGTAATTTTCAATATGAAAAGATGAGTTTTTTAAGCTAATCCACTTTTGCATAGCAAGATGATGCGGTGAATTTAGCTTTCCTACATGATGTTGAAATGCACATTGACTCCCACCAATTCTCTTCCAACTTTGATACCCATGAATAATAAATGTTGGATGTGTCTGATTCCTGTTAAAAAGGAAGCACGGAAAACAAAATATCTTATCCTTAGCAACTGAATACTCAAGCCAAGTGAATTGGCCGAACCACTTTTTATTAAATCGATGAAAGTTCTGCCCTTCTAAGTGGCTTGGATAATCTTCTAACTCGGGTTGACATGGTCCTAAAAGAATATATGCTTTTTGCACATTATCTTGTTCATTGACCGGATATTTGCATATTAGACGACGTAATCCTGAATCACGTTCAAGATAATTGATATTAAAATCTTGATCATCATCAAATTTTTGAGATTCAACTCTTTCAACTTGAGGCTCGACAATGGGAGAGTCATGAAGATTTTGCTCATCACTAATTGGAGTAGATAAAGAAGTGCCAGAAGGAATTTTACTGGATGATGACCCATCATTCTTTTTCTTATAAAAAGACAACAAATTCTTTGCTCTCTTGGGGTTCCGATTGTGGTCCGACATAATAAAAGATAGCCTATAAATAATCAAACATAACAACAAAAAATCAAACAAATTCTCATAATAACATCTCAATAATACCAAATCAAACATCTCAACAATATCAACAACAAATGAAACATCTCAACAAAATTCCTAAAATCAAAGCCCTAATTAATTTTAACAAAATTCCAAAATTATAATTCATTCATAATTAAACCCTAAAATACTCAATTTTTAATTAAAATTAAAATTAAAGATATAGGTTTTAAGGAATAAGAAGAATACTTGTTGTGGACAAGAGGAGAGGTGAAGCTACTGCCAAAGAGAAGAAGATGTTGCTGCCGCCCAACCCAAGATGTTGCTGCCCAACCCAGGATAAGAGGAGAGTACGAAGCCAAGAGAGAGAAGTAGCTGATGCCGCATATAGCCAAGAGGGAGAAGATATGGGACTTAGGGTTTGCTTTTACCTTTTTAAAGTTT